TGCCTCGTCCCTGGTCATTAAACTAAATCTATTACGGCTGTCGCGAATAAAATGAAAATGAAATGCAAAAAAAGTGTTGACCGCAGCATTAAATTTAGATCCGCCCAATGTTGTGCCATGATTTTTAGCGCATTATAACCAATCACACATGAGACGGTTGAGTTTATGAATGCAATGGCCAATCAGAGGCCTTCAGAGAAGTTTTTGATTCACTGCACGCACTTGCTGACTGAATTCATCTCTCACGCGAATTCTCTCATCATAAATATCTCTCAGGAGTTTTTAAACTCGCGCCAGACTTAAGTCAGTCATAATGCTCTTTGACAATGTAAGTTCTTTGCTCGCATTCTCTGTATAATTTATCCGCTGTTTGAATAACTGGGGAAGGTACAGGTAATAAAAAAATGTATTCATTACCTCATCCGTGAACATAGCGTCATCAAGCTTCGCCTTTGTTATTTTTGAAAATACTTTGTTTTGAAAATATGACCTCTAGTGGCGAAAACTTACATATTGTAAGTGATGTTCACTTACTATTTTATTTTTAAAAATAGTACACAGTTCATTGCACAGTATTCAACTTTAATCTGCATCTGACACGCCCCCCCCTCTCTGCCATTGGTCAGAAACTGATAGCTCCGCCTCAAACACGCTCCATTGGCTGCCACTGAGTCAGTGTTGCTGTGTGGGGCTAGCTGTCATGCTCAAATAAGCAGAGCAAAAGCAGTGCAAATTCACAATGTTTTTTTTTTTTTTTTTTCCAACTTATAAATGATTCCCTAATAGTTGTCTTTGCATATTAGGCTGAAGATAAAGACGTTTTAACATTAAAATCACCTGTGAGGCTTCAGGTTTTAAGCTAAGAACAATTATTTCTCATGATAAAATCACTGTAATGCATGACGTCTGGCTTGATTTCATCTTCACATCTCCTACTTTATCCATTTCATTTGCTTGTGTTCCTCTTTTCCAGCCCCCTTCCCATCTCGTGCTCTCTTTCATGAACAGGCTTTCCATTTTTTTTTTTGGCCAAGTACAGGAATGTAAGTCACTCACTCTCTCCAGTCTTTTAAATTCTCTCTCTCTCTCTCTCTCGTCCCCTCCCCCTCTCTCTTCTGCTGGTCTCTTCTGCTCTCCCTCCCCCTGTTGCTGCAGTGTTACTGCTAATGTATATTAGCGTCACTGCAGTCCTCCACTGCTCACCCCTCTCGTTCTCTCCTTCTTTTACCCTCTCTCTCTCCCTCTCCTTCAGCTTCCATTTCCTGTTCAGTGCTAACAGCATTTTTACTTCTCAGTGTGCTGTCTTGTTTTGCACAGGTTTTGTGACATGTTCACACACACACACACACATATGCGGGGTAATTATACCTCGTCTCCCTCACCCTGTGTGTCAGGATTTCTCACGCTGCTCACATGCTCTCTAAACCCTGTTTTTTTCTTGCCTATCTGCTCTTTTTCTGGTCGTCTTTCTCACCTATTCTTTGTGACCCCCTCCCCCTTCCAAAAAATAGAAATAAATAAATAAATGCAGTAAAACGTCACCACTGCTGCTGAGCTCAGTTCTGGTGCCTGCTTTACAAACACACACACACACGGCACAGTAAAATATGAACCCTCTAAGTTCTTCTGCACTTCTTCTTTTTTTTTTTTACTTTTGCATTTTTTATTTAGTCATGCACATGTATATTCCTCAACATTTAATCAATATTTTCTTAATTATTTTTAAAAAATGTTCCTAATATTATTCACTACAACCACCAAATCACAATGAAAAAAAATTTGGTGTAGAAACAACTTTCACTCTAAATTACACAAATAATTGCAAATAATTGTCAAGTGACACATTTAATTAAATATGACATTTTAAAGTAGAAAGACCAAAATAGTGCTTACATAATAATAGTTACAACTCAGAAAAACAATTACAGTGCATAATTGATTCTATAAAGTCAGATTCAGATGAAAATCTGATTTTTTTTATTCATATTTTGAAAATACTTGACTGCACCTGATCCTTATCTTTTCTCTACCCTTAAATCATTCAACATCCTCTTTTCTTTTTGTTTAAGTCTCTGTAACCCTTTCTCCTCTAAGTGCTGCAGTGCTGCTGCTGATATCAGCTCAGTTCAAACTTCTGAGTCTGCATTTATTTCGTCTTCAACAAAAGCTCTTTTTTACTTCCTTTTTTTCTCAAATATCTCTCCCCTCAACTTTTATGTCAGCTTTTTACCCTTTCCCTCAATCTGCACATTCACTTATCTCACTTTTTTAATTGTTTCCTTTCATAATACCTCTTCTGGGATCATTTAAGTATCACATTATTTCATTAACATGCTCTCTGAGTCACATATATGCACCTGAACAGTCTTAAACTCACTATTTTTATAATGCATGAATCTGAAAGATCTGTGGCTATGCAACAGCATCCGTTTTATTCTGTTTTATGCTTCCTAGTACAAGTACAATATTTTAACTTCAGACTCTCTTTTGGATATAATGTAGTTATAAGTGTGTAAACTTTATAACTAGTTAGATAAGAAATTATTTTTCAAAATAGTGGTAAATAAAATAAAGATTACTAGAGTGAAAGCTTTTTCTACTTTCAGATTTCAAGTATAATGTCACTTGCCATTTTTTAGTAATTGTGAATTTACTAGCAATTTCTGAGTAAAAATTGTTTCTACACTTTTTTTTCAGTGTAGTGTGCATAACTTCATGCACTTACCACTATGAATATATTAAGCATGATAAACTTACCAAAACAGTATATTCTAAACTAATATTACCAGCACAACTAGACTAAAAAATTGTTTTCCTTTGCAGTCTTAGCATACAGTTTCTTTAAGAAGTGAATAAAGTCTTACCTTCAATATTTCCATCTTCTTTCTTGACTTTCTTTCTATCCTCCGCTGTCTAAATGCAGTTCTGAAAGAGTTGACTAACTTTCTTCAAGCTGCCCAAAAAAGAATTAGAATGGACAGAAAGGAAAGTGACAGAAAATGGAGGAAATTAGTTTCTAGCTTGCAAAAAGTGTTAAAACAGGCAAAATGGATAAAAAGAGTGATGGAAGAGGAATAAAGTGCTTGTGAAATGAAATGAAGAGGGAATCAGCTGAAAGGAGGTGATGTACAGTAGTAGAAAAAGAGAAAAGTAAGTGATGCTGGGCTCCAGAGTCGTTCTCAGTGAATTGTGCTTCCTTAATGCGGAATTGGAGAGCAAGGGATGGAGGGGGTAAGGTAGGGGGGGGGGCAAACAGAGATGGGATAGGATCAGAAAGAGAGCAAAATGGAACAAAGTGGACTAATACTTTAAAAGCAACTAAATCAGAAGCATTTCAACCAGGGCTCTTCACTATAATAACACGGAGGAGAGGGAGAGAAGAAATGAGCGGATGCACAAAGTCAGGTTTTTACTGCAGCAAAACTGCACTGTTCTCTCCAAACCTCTCTTGCCCTCTCTCTCTCTCTTTCCCTCCTCCCTCTCCTGCTCGGTGACGCTGGGCTACAGGGCTGTACTGCTGGGTGTGCATAATGAGCACCTTTCTATCTCTCTCTGTCTCTCTTTCTCTTGCTCCTGTTCCCCTCATGCAATGAAGCTGCAGAGAAGCTCTTGATTATTAGATGCTTCATTTAAAGAGATGGAGGGAAAGAGAGACAGATATAATTTTAATCAGTCACAATAGTCTCTCGCCCTCAGTTGCATCTTGCAGTGGCATTGCTTCAGCCCAAGATGCGGTCCAAAGGACATTTGAAAGCAATACACCTGATTGAGAGATTGACAGATAGTATCTGTATTCGACATGCATGGGCTGTTGATGCTGTTACATATCATTTTATATTAAATGCATCTTAATTTTCATGCATTGACTTTCAAAACGTTAAAATGCTGTTTTGTGATCTTTGATGTGTTGATTCTTTGATTGCCAGTTATATAATGCTCACTTGCATTCTTTTATATTCTATGGTCTAGTTGCTCTACTTATTGTTTTTCTCTTATATTATTTGCTTCTGCTTGCATTATTATCATTAGATAAAAGCATCGTCTAGATGAATAAATGTAAATCTCATTGTTGATAACTTGTGTTAAGGGACTATTGATCTTATGATCCTATAGTTTATTGTATCCTCTGTTCAAAATGATTTCAAAACCCTTCTTAATGCACAAAACAGTTCCATAACAGGGATTTGTGATATGCTTTGATCATTTTAGAGATGAGTTGACACGAAATACTCTTGGGAAGTTCTGCCGTGTGAGATGCCACCTCTAAAACTATTTTAAACAGCATTCTTTTATGAGTATTATGCATATGCAGCTTGTATATCCTCGTATTAATTCAGGGACTGCATGAAATAGTAATATTTGAAGGGAAAAGGTGATTAAATAGAGGATAGTTATACTGTACATGACCTTCACTTTTAAAAATGAAGCTTTTTACTGCTTTTTTTTTTTTACTTCATCCAAGATTCTTGTGAAAGAAGGGCTCATTAAAGCTCATTTTAAATGTTCTTCACATTCTTTTAAGAACTGTTCACTGAAAGGTTCTTTAGGGCAACCTTAAATGGTTCTTCTCTAGCATCACTGCAAAAACCTCTTTTTGGAAGATTTATCTTTAAGAGTGTATGACAGACATGCATTGAAATTCTTGATGATTTCCTGATGTCATAAAGGTCCGTGCACACGTCATGCCTCAATCATGAAGCAACTTTCCAAAAACACACAAGGTCACATGGCAACCTTCATGTCACTGCAGTATTTTTGGCATATCAATAGCGGGACCCCCGTATGATGTGCAAGATCCCCTCCATTTTTACCTTTACTAAACATCTCCCCTCTTTCTCTCCCCCCTCCCTCCTGTCCCCCCGCAGACCGCTCCTCTCTCCTCCCCTCTCCGTTTTTTCTCCTCCTCTCCCTCCCCTATGCTCAGTTCGGTGTGTGTCTCCTCATTCAAAGGGCGCAAGGGTGGGAACAAGTCGTCCAACAAAGCATGTTACAGCGCCGACATGACTTGCCCGTCGGAAAGCGAGAAAATCGTCATCAACTGCGGCGGCGTGAGGCACGAGACGTACCGGAGCACCCTGAAGACGCTGCCCGGGACGCGTCTGTCGTGGCTCACTGAGCCGGACGCCTTCAACAACTTCGACTCGGCAGGAAAGTGGGCTGGTGGCGCGTGTGGCGACCGCGGATCTGGGCGCTCTTCGAGGATCCCTACTCGTCCAAATACGCGCGGGTGAGTTTTCAGCACCTCTTTACGCGTGGACAGCTCCTCGGTCTAGCGCTCCGGTAACTTACTTTAGCCGGTGACGGTGGGCTGAAATGTTGTTGAAACCCTGATTTGAGACCCCTATTCTTCAAAGCACTGTATGCATGGAGTAGTTTGGCTGGTAACAGAAAGGTTTCAGGTTCAAACCCCAGATGTCCTTGAGTTTGAGCGTCCTGATTTAGAAAATCTAGGCACTTTTTCGAATGGACAAATCCATAGCATTGGTATACGCACTGAACTAACAGGCTAGCAGGGAACGTTCTCATCAAGTTACGAACGTTCGTTCGAAGTTTACTGGTCTTTAGTAACAAAAAAAATGTATAGCTACATCACTCAAGGAACGTTTTTTTTTCCTATGAAAAAAAGTATTTGGATGTTCATCTAATGTTTTTTTTAAACGTTACTACTTACGACTGGTTTCAAAACATTCGAAGAATATTCAAAAGTAACATTCCTGTATTGTTTGCAAAATGCTCAAATGGATTGTTAATATTCGCATTAAAAACTGGAAAATTTAAATATTCAGATAGTTTTCATAACTTAATGTAAACGTTATCAAAACAGAACATACTTTTGTTATCTAGGTTAACATAAGGTGAAGTAGCTCGTAGTAAAATATTTGAGTTGGAATCTGAAAGGTTTTGGGTTTAAATCCCAGATTGTGCCCTTGATTTGTGCCCCACTGATTTAAAAAAAACCTAGACACTTTTTCCAGATTGACAAATCCATAGTATATACTTGTGTTAACCCACTGAACTGACTTGTTTAGTTTCCCAGCTACCAGGGAACGTTCTTTTGACGTTCTGGTAAGGTTCTTTCAAAGTTATGAACAAACATTGTTTCAGTAACGTTAACAGAACGTTCATTCAAAGTTATCTGGTTTTTAATGACATTCCCAAAACGTTAGCACAAAAAATGTATGCATCATTCAAGAATTTTTTTTTTTAATGTTTAAAAAAAACCATTTTTAAAAGCGTTTCAAAACGTTCAGAGAACATTCAAAAGTAACGTTCTCATAATGTTTGCATAATGATAAATTATAAGCACTGATATGGGAGCTGCTGCGGAGACAGGGTGCGTTTGATTGATATTGCACAAATATGATAGACTATCACTCATATTTTTGCTCCGAGACATGGTCAAATATTTGAAAACAAATGCCCTGGTGTGTTCATACACTGTGTGGACGTATCAGATTCTGCTGAGGAAGTGACTTGAGGTTGTTTTACAAATTTTTTTGTATATATAGAAAGTCTATGTCCATTTATCCATGTTGACTCACATACAAGTTGGTTTATCAGCATATTTGCTGATTATTGCATGCTGTAGATTGTCTTTCATGTATTTTAGATGAAATTTAGATGCATGGTTGTCTAATTTAACATGTTATGTCATAGAGGAGCTCTCATCTTCCTATATGAAACCAGATATAATGACCTTACTGTGGGAATTTTTAGGAAAGAGCTTTAAAGCAATGTCTGCGTATACATATACATAGATGCGACACATGCACAATGGTTGTCTGCTGTGTGTTTGTGCACTTGCAGATGGATCTAGACATGGCTTATACCTGGGGAATGCATCTCTATTGTCCAAATGTCACTGGCAGGTCAATATTTGCCACAGTTCATTCACCGTGTTGTCAGCCAGGGTTTACTGTATAGTTGTTGCTGTGTGCATGCAAGCATTAACATGCATGAAGTCACATATAGTAAACACAATCAATTAGTGGTCAAACAGTGAGGGTTTTTTGCTGAGAGAGCAGGGTGACTGATGGAGATATACTGTGTGGAATGTAGTTGAATTATAAGATGCTCAATTTAAATTACTTATATTGGACTTTATTCATAAAAATAAGGACAATACATTTCTGAGTACTTTTTCTTTTTTTCAATAAATTCATACAAGGATGCATTAAATTGATCAAAAATGACAGAAAATAAATTTCTGATGTTACAAAAACCTCTTTTTCAAATAACTGCTGTTCTTTTTAATGTTCTATTCATCAAAGAATCCTGAAAATCATGTATTACAGTTTCCACAAAAAAAATATGAAGCAGCACAACTGTTTTCAACATTGATAATTATAAGAAATGTTTCTTAAGCAGCAAATCAGCATATCAGAATGATTTCTGAAAGATCATGTGGCACTGAAGACTGGAGGAATTATGCTGAAAATTCAGCTTTGATCACAAGAATAAATTTAAAGAAAAAAGTATTTTTGTATATATTGATCATATAAATGCAGCCTTAGTGAGCAGAAAAGACTTTTTTCAGCAACTTTAAAAAACTACTTTTATATACAATGTTAAAGAGCATGTCATATGGTATTTTAAAGTGTCCTAATATTGTGTTGGAGTCCCCTACAACAGGTTTAAATGCATCTAAGGTCAGCCGAGTGCTAACGTGACTAACTGATGAAACAATACAGTTTGTAAACCAAAATATGTCTACTGTAATGTTTGAAGAACGACAGACAAAAGACTGTCTTAACTTTTAATCAGAACGCAGAACAGCTGTATCACAGATGCAGCAGCCTAACTAACTCGCTCGTCTCTCCCGCATTAACCCTAGAACTGCCGGTGCAGCAAAATAAACAGCAATTTCACAATGATTATAAAGTCTGTGTGCTACACTACATTCTTTATTATTAAATGAAGTAATTAGAACAATGTCAGTCTACGTTAATCGTACTTACAGGTTGTGCTTTGGAGAGCTTGTTAGTCCAAATGAAGAAGATAGAAGAAGCCAACGAAGATAAAAGCCAAGATTAGAGAAGCAGTCCTTGGTAAAATGACATGCACACAACAAAAGGTTGGAATTGTATTTCTGTGGTATCCTTGAACACAGCGTCTTCTCAATATGATGTAAACACACTAACTAGCGGAAGTGTTTGTGGGCAGGGCGGACTCGCGGGCAGGCGGGATTATGCAAATGTGTTACCCAGTGACGTATACCAGTAACAGGCAAAAGATTCGAAAATATGACGACTCGTTAAGGCGATTCAGAATCGACTCTCTCTTTTGAGAGACAATATCTTTGTTTATCATGCACTTTTTTGATTAACAACTTTGCAGGTTATTTTCATTTAAGGATAGCTACGCTATAAACTGCAAAAGAGATATTTTTCAAAAACCCATATGACCTGCTCTTTAACTGTCCCACTGAATTTCAGTGCAACAATTTATGTTACAGTTCATGTTTTATGACTATTTTACTAAATGTATTTATTTAATTCATATATTCAAATTTTTGAAATGTATTTTTGAATTTTTCCTTATTAAACATTTAATTTTATTGACACAAACAATTTTACTCTTAATGGGCCATGTTTTCAAAAACAATGATAATTAATTCAGAAATTCAGACAAATTGTTCCATTGAATTGAATGCAACAATTCACTCGATATTTACTCAAAATTCAGAAAACAATCTTAGCGCTAAAATATCCGCTAAATTATTTCAGTTTAGTGACAGTAAATAAGATACTGAATTGAAATAAACACTATTTTACACTTTTTCAACCTTATTCATAAAAACAAGAACACATTACACAAATCAAAATCACTGATACATCCATTCCTGCTTAAATTATGCTGTTTTAATTTAATTGAATGCACCAATTTACATAACGATTTTGCCTGTGATGTACACAAATGTATTCTGCTTGTGTTTCACGAGTAACGCTTATTTATTTGACTGTATTTATGCAAAATTCTCTAAAAAAATATATATGTAAACATAAACATAATGCTCCGCCAAGTGCAAACACGGTTTCTCAGAAAGCATTTCAGCAGTGTTACTGTGCTGTGTTTCTCTCCGGTCATGCATTAGGACACGACAGCACTCCGTAACCTACAGTAACACTTCACTGATCTCAAATCTAGCAGGACTAGACAAGACAAAGAGGCCGCTTGTAAAAAAGGACGGACAGAGGAAGGCAGAGGTGAATGGAAGGATATTACTGGTGTGATTTAAAGCCGCTCGCTATAGATTCGTGGCACGGGTGAAGTGTGTAACATTTATGAGCCGAGCGATAATCTGCATGTTATTCAAACCTACAGCAGTCCAACACACGTGAAGCTTGAACACACACACTGCCGCAATACTGCACTCCGGCAGCCCGAGCTGTGCACTAGAGCAGGAGATGAGCGAGAGAGGGTCAGATGTAAGGAATAGGAGGGGAAAAAAGCGAGCTGGAGGAAGCAGAGCTGTGAGAGATGGAAGGAGATGGACGTTTGAGAGGAGGAGTGGCTGGAAATGAGAGGATGGGGGTAGAGGAATGCTTAATGGATTCATTTTAACATCTTCAATTATAACTAAAGGCACCGGATGCCTTCCTCCCCCACTTCTGTGGATTATTGTTTAATCGTTTATCAATCGCTTGGGTCTTTGTCTCTCTGAAGGCATCTGATCGTCACATACACACACACACACGTACAGCTAGGGATGTAACGGTATGAAAATTTCTTATCACGATTACAGTGACTAAAATTATCACGGTTATCAGTATTATCACGGTATTGTTCAAATGTGCTGGAGATGTTCAAAAAGTACCGACACATAAATCATTTCACCACGTTTTATATTTAAAAATCAACAAACAACAAATAAAATGACTTTTTGTTTGCATAATCACTAAAACAATAACATTACCAATGATGTTCGGATTTTAAATGACAACTTGACCGACAACAGTTTAATAGCATGTTGAAATATCTAATGTAAATGTTCAAATAAAGCTTTGAAAAAGTTTCATAAAAAGGTAAACCTCACATTTCAGCCTTTAAATGAAGAAAATATATTTTGATAATTGATTAATAAACGATAATATGTATTTTATCTGCTCCATAAATAATTCTACATAACTTATCTGAATTGTTTAAATGTGTAGAATCCACATAAGCTTGTTTTTCATCAACCGGTCAAAATTTACAGAAGGGCATGCAAATTCAGCACAGCACCGT